CGATACGCATCTGTCTCACGGTGGCGTCGTCACAGCGAGGGCCCCGAAATTTGGAGGTTTTAAGCATCACATGTAAGCAAGACGGGAGTTACTAGGTCAGTGATTCATGAGATCACGGACAGGCGTGACGAAGCGGGCAAGACTGCCCTGGAGGACCATCGCAATTGAGTGCCTGCCTACGTGCGAATAGACGGGAGGAGAGAATGATGGCAAAGGCAACGGCACCTCGAGGGGGAGGTGGAGCGACTAAGACACATCGTCATGGCGGGTCCGGCAGACGTATGGACAAATGAAGGGTTGCTGACAAAGGAGACATAGCTGGAAGAGTTTCTGGAAAGCGGGAAGGAGCGTCTGTAGGTGCTGGTCGGTCGCATATCTTAACTGTGGGGGGAGGTGCCAAAGAGAACTGAACACGACTCCAAGATGGGAAGAATATTTATCTTGCGCCGCTCGGAGCCTTGGATGGTTTGAAAGGCGTACGCTTCTACAATTATATCCATAGTTTGAATCTTGCTTGCGTTGCAACGCTGTACTACGCGCGATACAAATTTGATGCCGTGGTCAAGAATGACGAAACGCTGCCTTCATGTACACAAGCGTGCGCGCGTTTGATTATATCCAACGTATGTGTGAATGAGGGCGGGAAAGTCACTCCATGGTTGAAAAAATGTGTGAATAATGGACCCAATGGTTGGAGGGACAAATGAAGGGTTTAGGGTTTTGTTGTTATTTTTTAGTTTTTTCCTCACAGCAGTTTCATGTTCCAATAGAGATTTCAACACAATTTCATCTGCCCAGTTGAGTTTTATGCTGAGACAACGCTCCAGAAGGTGACATCTGCCAGTGATAGGCTCTTGGCCCAGAACGACCAAATGTCACGTACCCCCATACGCAAGTTGTTGAGGCATGTTGAAACGCCTTGAGTTTCCAATATCCCACCAGCTATGTCGTTACATCTCACCGTGCAGTTTGCGTTCCTCTAGGCCAGGCCGTTTCATTTCACCTCATGCCATGTCATGGATGACAGGAGTTCTCATCCCAAAATGTGTGAGGTCGAGGTGGGATGTTTTCAGGGCTTTCGGGAGAGTAACTTTTAAGAACTTACGTGTAGGTTGATTTTCTGGGTTCGCGGCTCGGGAATCCGTGGGCAACAGCATCATCGAAAGTTCGTCGCCACCCTCGCGAGCAATATTATTGGTCGAGCCATTTCGACTTTTTCCAGGAAACTTCTACAAAACCGTTCGAACGATTGCTATTGGTACGTTCGATTCAAACCTACCGCTCTGTAAGAAAAGGGTTTCGAACACTACTTCCAAGAAGCAGCAGCTTGCGAAGATTTGGCACGACACCAGATCAACTTGACCCGCTAAAGTATATTTCCGTTACAGTGCACGCATAATTTATTGCCTTGGACATTGTTTGTTGAACTATGCCATTGAACTGTAAACAGCTTTGAATGTTTAGAAATGGATTTTGTTAGGTCCAATTTGTCGCCCAATTACTTTATTTGTTAGGATTTCATGTTTAGTTGCAGCAGTTGTACGTTCTGATCGATGGGACATTAAATTCACTACATAATTATTGTAACGATGATTAATTGCACAAAACGTCGCCACACTATGTTATTTCAACGCTATATTCTTCTGTTTTGTGAGAAAACTGAAACGAGAATGATGCACTAAGGAATGGAATGTGGTACAAATATGTTACCCTAGAAATGTGTACCCCATATGGGCTACCCCACTACAGCCTACAGAACATTATGATTTGAAACACCCCCATAGGCAAAGTGGGGGAGAACAAGGGGTCACAAGACCAGTCAAGCAGAACAAAGCAAAGCTCAGGGTGGATCACAAAGTCACCACACATTCCGAGCACAAGTTCAAGGCCAGAAGGCCAGTTCACGTGCAGGAGCACATATATATATAAAAGGCTAAACAAGCAAGAGCAGGAGTATATATATGTGACAGTACAAGCAAGGTCAAGAAGTGAGCAAGTGAGGCAAGGCATGCACAAGACCAAGCTGAGTACAGAAGCGCTGATGATCACAAGGCGCAAGTGCCTTAGTGAAGATATCAGCAGTGTTGGCCTCAGAGGCCACGTACGCAAGTCGCAACTGACCACGCTGCTGCATCTCACGAGCAAGAAAGTAGCGGAGAGCAATGTGCTTCGTTCTGTGCTCCAGGCGCTGCTCCCGACACAAGGCCAGCATGGCCTTGTTGTCTACGTAGAGCACTGGAGGAGAACGAGGCGGCTCTCCGAGGTCAGTCAGCAGGTAGGTGAGCCAGCGAAGCTCTTGAGCAGCCATGGCTCCTGCCTAGTTCCCAGCCTCACAAATGGAGCCGAGAACGGAAGACGAGCGAGTAGCCCTCCACGAAACAGAGCCGGAACCAAGGCTGAAGGTGTAACCCTGTGACGACCGCTGCGTAGCCTGGTCGTCAGCCCAAGAAGCGTCTGCGTATCCAGTGAGGACCACTGGACTCCGCCCTCCAAGCACAAGCCCCATGCCCAACGTACTGCACATGTAGCGCAACACCCTCTTCGCTGCAGCCATGTGCTCCGGTCTGTGTCTCCCAGGAGCAACATAGCGTGCGAGAATGCTAAGAGGGTATGCAAGGTCAGGTCGTGTGCAGGCCATCAGATACATGAGGCAGCCAACAAGCTCTGGGTACGGGCCACTCGACTCTACGGACTCATCCGAAGGCAGAGCTGAGAGCGAGTGGCGAGTAGGCCGAGGAGTGGCCTGAGGCGAGGAGTACGTGAAGCCGAAGCGCTGAAGGACCTGCTGCACCATGTGTGACTGAGTCAGGGTAATGGTGCGGCGTGCTCTGTCCCGGGTGATCTGCAAGCCAAGGTAGCTACGCAGTTCACCCAGGTCTGTGCACGTGTGTCTCTTCTGCAGCTCGGACCTCACGTGGGCGAGTCCAGCAGTATCAGCAGTGGCAAAGACCAAATCTTCGACGTACACAAGGATGTAGAACGGCGGCAAAGAGGTGTCGGTGCGCAGAAACAGCGACGGGCCGGCAGTAGAAGGAGCAAACCCAAGAGCCGCAAGCGTAGTCTAGACGACATCGAGCAGTAGAAGGACGTCTGTGCCAAGGGCATACCCATCCCCGACGGACGGACGACAGACACACTCAGACTCAGCGACAAGACTAGCAGCGTAGTCTAGACGACATCGAGCAGCAAAGTCGACGAGCTCAGCAACTAGGGCAGACGCAGCAGTGTACTCAAAAGAAGGGTCAGTGAAGACAGTAGCAAGGAGACGCGTGACAGTAGGACTAGCAGCACGAAGAGAGTCCGACTCCGGGCCGGCAAGAGCAGGAAGAGAAGACTCAGGAGGAGAAGGCAAAGGGGCACGCAGAGGGGCAGTGGACGGACGCAGAGACATCTGGTGCGTGCCAGGGACAGGAGGGGGACGTTTACGCGAACCGCGACCACTAGTACGAGCAGCACGGACAGGCGACGCAGGGCGAGACGCAGGCTCACGACGCTCAGCAAGACCTCCAGTAGGACCAGTGTAGGGAGACGGAGCAGGCAGTGGGGAGGCCGGCAGTAACTGTAGCTGTGACGGGTCAAGCAGTGGACACTCTAAGGGAGGAGGAGGACTAGTAGAAGGCGGGAGACCAAGAACCTGCTAAAGGAGCGGAACAAAGTACGGCCGAGGCCGCGCGGCGACTCCAGACACAGCACGGACAGCACCAGCACCCCCAGCAGCAGCACCAGCGCCAACAGCACCTCCAGCTGCAGTACCTCCAGTAGCACCAGCAGCACCCACAGCAGGACCGCCGCCACGACTGACAGCAGTAGCCTCAGCGCCAACACCCTCAGCAGCTCCAGCTCCAGTCGTACCCGCAGGCCTAGCAGCTCCAACACTCCCAGTACGAGCACCTCCGGACCGGCGGCACCAGCACCCTCAGCTGCCGAAGACGCACTAGTACCAGCAGAACGCCTCCATCGCCGGGCAAACCACTCGCGCAGCTCCTGTGAAGAGAGTGGCTCCCGCCGAGACGAAGCACCCGGAGTACCTCCCGGCCCAGCACCGCCAGACGCCACACAAGCAAGCCCAGCGGCCGCCAGCTCCGCACCCCCAGGCTCAGCAGCTCCGGACGTGGCACCCCCAGGCTCAGCACCCCCAGGCGTAGCACTCCCAGGCTCAGCACCCCCAGGTGTAGCACTCCCAGGCCCAACACCCCCAGTCTCAGTACCCCAAGGCTCAGCACCCCCAGGCGTAGCACCCACACGCTCAGTACCCCTAGAGTCAGCACCCCCAGGCTCAGCACCCGCAGCAGCACCAGAGTCACCAGTAACCTTGACAGGCTCGACTGCGTCTACCTGGGACAAACCAGAAGGGGCAGGACCCTGAGGGGGGAGGGGGTCTATCGGGGGGGACCTGGCACAAGGAAGAGCGGTGGCAGGGGGAGGGAAGGAGTGCGGTAGGGGAAGAGGCGGTAGTAGGGGACCGACTCATCAAACGTGACGTCCTGGGAGGACAGAACATGACGAGAGGTGGGGTGGTAGAACTGCCACCCTGGCGCGTCAGGGGGGAAGCCAAGGAAGACGCAAGGAGCAGCACGAGGGGACAGTTTGTGCGCAGACAAGTCTCGGACAAACGCCCGAGATCCCCAGACACGAAACGCAGACGCATCGCCTACCTTCCCCGTCCACAGCAAAGCTGGGGAGGTCTCCGGCATGGAGACCCTGGGCTGAAGGTTGATCTGATGCGCCGCGTACCGAACCGCAAACGGCCACAGAAAATGGGGGGCAGCCGCATGCATCATGGACGTACGGGCGACGTCCATGACCATGCCAATGCGGCGCTCAGCAATCCCATTTTGCTGTGGAGAGTCCGGAAGCGTAAAGGTCTGGCGGATACCTCGCGCACGACAGTAGGCTTGCAGAAGGCCTAAGGAGAACTCTCCGCCTCGGTCAGAGTGCAGACGCAGAATAGGAAAGTCCGAGCCGAAGCTCCTCCTGAGCTGGAGACGAGCTGCGCGGATCTAGTCGATGAACACCTCAGTGACATCACCCTTGCTGCGCAAGGGGAAGACTGTGGTGTAACGCGAGTAGTCGTCAACCACCAGCAGGAAGTAGCACTCGTGACCCTGTCCACGGACGCGGGCCGGGCCCCACACGTCCATGTGAAGCGTCTGCAGCGGGGCCTCTATCGGGGGAAACTGAGAGGAGTGAGGGGCAGCCCGCAGCCGCCCCTTGACACAGGGGACGCAGGTGGGGCCAGGCCCCAAAGGAAGGGGAGGGAGGGACCGGGGAAGACCAGAGACAAGTACACAGGAGGCCATGCCTCGGAGACGAGGCAGGGAGGGGTGATCAAGGCGGTGGTGCCAGAGGAGAGTCTCGTGAGACAGGAGGCGACACGAGCAGGGGGCAGACTCAAGACCAGACCTGGACGCTGCAGCAAACATATGACCCGACGCAGCTACCTGACCAGACGCAGGGACAGGAGGAGAGTCAGTGGTCAGGGTGTACAGGCTCGACCCCGGCCAACGCGTAAACGTGGCCAGGTGCCGGCCTGTGCGAGCGTCCGAGCAGTGGGTCACCCGCTGACTCGCAAGAGTAAACTGATGAACCCCCGCATCCTGTAGGTCAGCACCACTCACCAAGTTTGTAGAGAACGAGGGGAGGTAAAGACCAGAAAAGGTGCCAGAGGGGGCCGCCGGACACGGGAGGACAGTGGAGAAGTGAGAAAGGACAGGACCCCCAGAGGGGTCTGCCAAGGAGACTGCAACCGGCTGACCAAGCGGCGTGAGTGTGGTGCGGTCTCGAAAGAAGGAGCGAAAAGCCCCTGAGTCAAGTGTGAAGGTGAGGGAGGCCGAAGCCGACGCGGTACCTGCGAGCGCAGACTCATCAGCACCTGAGGACGAGACGCACTGGCACCTAGAGCAGAAGCCTCACTGGCACCTAGAGCAGCAGCCTCACCAGAACCTAGAGCAGCAGTCTCAATGCCCGGGTCGGGCGGGAAACACCGGTAACAGTCACCCTCATCACTAATAGACACAGGATACATGGCAGAAAGGATAGCATCAAAATCAAGATCATAGATGGCAACTCCCGCCCTAGACAGCTCGCCCCAGCGAGGGATCTCTCTGGCCTCCGGGAACTGGTGACGCCACGCGTCCGTCAGGCGGCCAAAGCAGCGCTGGGTGGGGTGCGCACCCCCACACTGCTCACCCGCACGGTCGTCGGTGTGCAGGACGTAGGCGCACGGACCGAAACCCACACCCCGCTGGCGTGCAGTGTACCACTCACGGAGCTGCTGAGGGGACAGGGTCTCACGACCGCGCTGCTGCTGCTGGCGCGGACCACCACCGGAGCCACTCCTCTGCGTAGACCCGCGACCAGCTCCACCGCCACCCCCGCCGCCTCCGCCGCCTCCGCCGCCTCCGCTACTACCGCCGCCTCCGCCGCATCCTCCACCGCCACCACCTCCGCCACTTCCACTCCCACCGCCACCGCCGCCGCCGCCTCCGCCTTCACTGCCGCCACCGACACCTCCACCCCCACCTCCACTCCCACCGCCACCCCCACTTCCCCCGCCGCCTCCACCTCCACCTCCACCGCCCCCGCTCGCTCCTCCGATGCCCCTGCCCCCCTTGCCCTTGCCAGAGCGGCGTCTCCCGCTAGGGGCAGACGTCGAACCGACCGACTCAAGACCAAGGAGGTCGGCCGCAGCAGCAGAGGCAACAGAGGGCAGAAGGGGGGAGGGGGAACACCTCTCAAAGATGGGGGTGCGTGGGTCACCACGAGAGGCCCCTACAGCGACTATGCTCTTCTCGGCCGCTAGGAGGGACTTCTCGAGGAGGTCAACAGTGAGAGTGGTAGGACAGACTGAGAGGAAGTGGTCCCTGACTACGCGAAGGGAGTCAGGGAGGCGAGTGACTATGTAGTAGAGAGTGATGTACATGGGGGGGGGGTTCTTGGCACAGAAGTCAGCAGGAAGCGCAGCGCGGTAGCGAGTGTCACTAGTGCGGAGGTGCGTAATGAGGTCAGCGACTGTGGGAAAGGCAGCAAGGTCAGGGAAGAGGTACGGTAGCATGAGACGGCTCAATGCAGCAGTGGTAGGGGAGGAGTAGCGTGCAACTACAGCGTCGTACAAGGTCTGAGCACTCTTGTACTGACTAAAGTGCGCACGCTCAGAGGTAGGGAGGTGGCGACGCACAGCAAGACGTGCAGCAGCATCGCGCGTGGCCCACTGTGAGCGAACAGTGGCGTCAGCATCAGCAGCAGGAGCAGGAGAGGCACCAGAGGTGAGGTCAAAGAGGGAGAGACCGTCTGCCTTATCGCACTGTAGGAAAAGCTGCAGGTCATCTACCCAGACGTCAAAGTCAATGGCCCGACCCTCAGCGTCAAAAGCGAGGACACTAGGGGTAGCCATGACAACAATAGACTAGCAACGCACAAAGTAGGGAAAGGGCAGTGCAGTGACAGAGGCGCTGTGCTTACCGGACGGGGCTGCTCGGGCGGCTCGGAGGTAGGGCGGCTCGGCGGCTCGGTGGCTCGGCTGCACGGCGGCTCGGCTGCAGGACGGCTCGGCTGCTGGGCGGCTCGGCTGCAGGGCGGCTCGGCTGCTCGGCTGCTGGGCGGCTCGGCTGCAGGGCGGCTCGGCTGTTCGGCTGTCCGGCTGCTCAGCTGCTGGGCGGCTCGGCTGTGCTGCTGTACGGCGGCGCGGCGGTCGGCTGCTCGGCTAGGTGAGGCGGCTCGGGCAGCTCGGGTGGCGGGCGGCGCTGCAGCAGATGACGAGGCCGCAGGGAAGGCGGCGGGGCCGCAAGTGAGGGCGGCGGGGACCGCAAATAAGGGCGGCGGGGACCGCAGGTAAGGGCGGCGGGGACCGCAGGTGAGGGCGGTGGGGCCGCAGGTAGGGCGGCTGGGCCGCAGGTAGGGCGGCGGGGCCGGGCCGTAGGTAGGGCGACGGGGCCGGGTCGAAGGTAGGGCGACGAGGCCGGTACGCAGGTAGGGCGACGGGGCCGGGGCCGGGGCGCAGGTAGGGCGACGGGGCCGGGGCTGGGGCGCAGGTAAGGCGACGGGGCCGGGATCGGAGGTTGGGCGACGGGGCCGGGGTCGCAAGCAGGGCGACGGGGCCGGGGCCGGGGCGCAGGTAGGGCGACGGGGCTAGGGCCGGGGCCGCAGGTATGGCGACGGGGCCAGGGTTACTGGTGGGGCGACGGGGCTGGGGTTGCAGGTAGGGCGACGGGGCCGGGGCGCAGGTAGGGCGACATGGCCGGGGCGCAGGTAGGGCGACGGGGCCGGGGCGCAGGTAGGGCGACGGGGCCGAGGCGCAGGTAGGGCGACGGGGCCGGGGCCGTAGGAATCAGGGGCCGCTAAGGCGGCGCGACTTGGCCGCTAGGGCGGCTCGACGAAGTCAGAGAGGGGAGCGCGACTCGGGCTGAGCGCGCTCCGGGCAGGAAAAAAAAACTTTCGACTTGGTGGGCCCTAGGCACAGTTCCCACGAGGGAACCTGCTCGACACCATGAGAAAACTGAAACGAGAATGATGCACTAAGGAATGGAAGGTGGTACAAATATACAAATATGTGTACCCCATATAGGCTACCCCACTACAGCCTACAGAACATTATGATTTGACATTTTGCAAGGTTTATTCCCACAAATAAGTCATAATTGATATCAGGAATGTGTGATCCTGATTAATTCTCGTTCGCAATATGACAAACGATGTCGTTTCAACGCTGCGCGGTTTTTTTTTTTGCTGTGTTTCTTCACATCACTGACTTATTAATGTTATATGTGAAAGAACAAAGAATGATTGACTAGTGGAAAAGGTTGGATACAAGTACAAACCCTAGAAATATTGTACCCTATATGTGCTACCCCACTATAGCCTACATAGGCTAAGTCATATAAGTCTGACATTCTAAGAAGTGTGTCAGCCAATTTATGCATCATTGGCATGACACAAGTAAGACTGATGCTGTTTTGAACCTCAAATGATGGGAAATTGTTTGAGTACAGACATGAATGCTGCACAATGTCGTTTTGTGATTTTTTGAAATTATTTGAATGATTTGTTTTTTCTATCTAATATGTTCAGTAAGCCTAGGGGAAGCTGGAAAACCACATTCAAATCGATTTTAACCACAAATATGGTGGTTACGAGCCCATTTGCGTGTAATTGGGGCAAAAACCAACCTATGTAGAGTGTTTCAGCATTCGTGCAGATGTGTATATGTATTCTTAGCATAAATAAAGGTGTTCAAAATGAAAAATAATCACTATTGGCAATACTTGGCCAAATATCTGGTTGCCATTGTTTACATCTACGGTATTTGCATGAGATTCTGACATGTAATAGCTATAAGCAACCAATTTGTATGAAAGGAAGTGTTTCCAGCTACTTATGACACGTAATATTCACGAGTGGGAGGGGGAAACAGCGATGCGCAGGTGGGCGACAAGTGGAAAATGCTGTCACTATCGGATCTGGTCTTCGGTTTTCAGGATGAAACGAATGGCTTCCAGCAACGACATGTGTGGGTCTGCACAGTGTCCAGCAAAGGTGACGTGTCACATTTTTTGTTGTTCCAGAATGTTTGCAACTGTCGGGCAGTCCTCGGATATGACTGTCTGTACAATACTCATGAACATATGAACAGCGTTACGGGCAGATATAAGGTAATTCTAGGTTCGGTGATTAAGCTCGTGACAGGCGCGTTTCTTGTCGCGTGCTGCACAGTTTCTGCAACTTGTACTTTCGAAATGCTGTTCGATTCAGGAACCTGCACGAAAGCTGCTTCTGATGGGATCTTTTGTCGCTTTTCTTCGTTTTGCTGCACGTGCGACACAGCTGGAGCTATGAAAACATTTTAAACTTATTTCTACTGTACTTCACTCAACTGTGCGTTGCACCTCTGCTTTTGCGAAATCAATACGGTAATTGTTTCTCCCTAGTTCAGTTGCGCAAAAGCAAAAAGGTGAACGAGGAAAAAATCAAGAAACGACAAAACGATAGTGGTGTGGGGCGTTCTGCTCAACTGGCCCAAGGCAATCATTCCTTGGCGACAGACAACCTTCTTGTATTCCTTCCTCTTCCTCTCGATTTGCAATTAGCTTGCTTTTATATGCTCGATGTCTGTTAGGTGATGAGTTCCTGCTCCTATGATATTGCCCTCAAGTGCTTTCTTTCCTTGTTGTCAGATGTGTTCGGGCGAAGCGGTGAGCCGATGCGAGGGTGCGTGAAGATGATTCCGTGAAGTTCTCTGAGAGGTGCGCTGCTAAGTTGACTTGTTATTTCATATTTGGCTGAATCTTACGTGTCAAGCATTCTTGCTCTTCCTAATGGTCATTTTGTTACGCTGTTTTTGCCGTCATATGAGACGTGCCTGCTCAACGCTTCGACCTGTATTTCAGCTTCGTTTTTTTCTTTTTGCAACGGGCCTGATTGCCTTTGTTGTTTCCAGCCATGACACTCCGTTTTTTGTTTCCCCTTCGCGTTCCCTTTTCGACCTTCCCATTTTTCCTACAGGTCTAATCAGAGAGCGTCACCTCAATTATACCGGTCATCGTCGGAAATGCATGCGGAAAATGCTCTCGTGCCTTAGCTCTGCCACCGAGAGTGGCGGCGAGAGATGCGGATCAGCTGCCAGGAGTAGTGTTGACGGTAAGTTTATGCATGTTCATCTTTCCATGTCCGCGCCCCCAGAAGTACATGCCCCTCGCTTCTCAATGCTAGCAATACTGGTATCAAGTGTGACTTGTATATCTCTGGTTTTCTCTCCCATCCTCCAGACTACCCCCCTAAATTCCTTTCCACCCTGTGCCTAGAGATGACTAGAGCTTATGAGTTCATGAACCTTTTTGGTGAATGAGAGATGACTAGAGAGCTTATGAGCTTATGAACCTTTTTGGTGAATGAGAGATGACTAGAGCTTATGAGCTTATGAACCTTTTTGGTGAATGAGAGATGACTAGAGCTTATGAGCTTATGAACCTTTTTGGTGAATGAGAGATGACTAGAGCTTATGAGCTTATGAACCTTTTCGGTGAATGAGAGGTGACTAGAGCTTATGAGCTTATGAGCCTTTTCGGTGAATGAGAGATGACTAGAGCTTATGAGCTTATGAACCTTTTTGGTGAGTGAGAGATGACTAGAGCTTATGAGCTTATGAACCTTTTTGGTGAATGAGAGATGACTAGAGCTTATGAGCTTATGAACCTTTTTGGTGAATGAGAGATGACTAGAGCTTATGAGCTTATGAACCTTTTTGCTGAATGAGAGATGACTAGATCTTATGAGCTTATGAACCTTTTTGGTGAATGAGAGATGACTAGAGCTTATGAGCTTATGAACATTTTTGGTGAATGAGAGATGACTAGAGCTTATGAGCTTATGAACCTTTTTGGTGAAAGAAAGATGACTAGAGCTTATGAGCTTATGAGCCTTTTTGGTGAATGAGAGATGACTAGAGCTTATGAGCTTATGAGCCTTTTTGGTGAGTGAGAGATGACTAGAGCTTATCAGCTTATGCACCTTTTTGGTGAAAGAGATAGAGCTTATGAGCTTGTGAACCTTTTTGGTGAATGAGAGATCACTAGAGCTTATGAGCTTATGAACCTTTTTGGTGAGTGAGAGATGACTAGAGCTTATGAGCTTATGAACCTTTTTGGTGAATGAGAGATGACTAGAGCTTATGAGCTTATGAACCTTTTTGGTGAATGAGAGATGACTAGATCTTATGAGCTTATGAACCTTTTTGGTGAATGAGAGATGACTAGAGCTTATGAGCTTATGAACCTTTTTGGTGAGTGAGAGATGACTAGAGCTTATGAGCGTATAAACCTTTTTGGTGAGTGAGGGATGACTAGAGCTTATGAGCTTATGAACCCTTTTGGTGAATGAGAGACGACTAGAGCTTATGAGCTTATGAAATTTTTTGGTGAATGAGAGATGACTAGAGCTTATGAGCTTATGAACCTTTTTGGTGAATGATAGATGACTAAAGCTTATGAGCTTATGAGCCTTTTTGGTGAATGAGAGATGACTAGAGCTTATGAGCTTATGAACCTTTTTGGTGAATGAGAGATGACTAGAGCTTATGAGCTTATGAACCTTTTTGGTGAATAAGAGATGACTAGATCTTATGAGCTTATACACCATTTTGGTGCATGAGAGGTGACTAGAGCTTATGAGCTTATGAACATTTTTGGTGAATGAGAGATGACTAGAGCTTATGAGCTTATGAACCTTTTTGGTGAATGATAGATGACTAGAGCTTATGAGCTTATGAGCCTTTTTGGTGAATGAGAGATGACTAGAGCTTATGAGCTTATGAACCTTTTTGGTGAGTGAGAGATGACTAGAGCTTATGAGCTTATGCACCTTTTTGGTGAATGAGAGATAGAGCTTATGAGCTTGTGAACC